AGAGAGAGAGAGAGAGAGAGACAGAGACAGAAACAGAGAAAGAGATAGAGAGAGATAGATGAGGACATCTATGTTGGATATTTATCCTTAAATTGAGACATAGTCTGGCAGGACATATAAGGCCATAGACATACATGTGTAATATATTATATCTGTGGCCAAAATGATCAGTTTGTGTAAATCATAAATGTGTAAATAATTCGTGCCAGCAAAAGGGTCGCGGATAGAGACGGATGCAGACACCACCAAGTGGGGTGGATAGAGATGTTTTTAGTTTTAGTAAGAGCTTTACAGCACTTGCAACACAATAAGGTCATATAAGTGCCAAAGAATAGAAGTGTTACTAGAGAGTAACAAGAAAAAAAAAGAAGGAACAGAGATAAAGACGACAGATTTTGAAAGGAAAGAAGGAGCAAACCACACCTGATCACCCACTAGAGACGGATAGAGAGACAACAAGGGGGGTGGATAGACACGGATAGAGAGACCATCAAGCACTGACCCTCAGTGACAGTTGCTCCAGTTTCTTGCGCTCCAGAGAGCCCTGGTCCTCCTCCATCAGCTTCTCTATGTACCTGCCTCACACACACACACACATACAGAGAGAGGACAAATGGACCATGAAATGTTTTACAGTGCAATAGAGAGATAAATAAATACATAGATATGTGAATAAAGAAACAATCAAAGAAACAAATAAACAGACACTGAAAGAATTGAATGAATTAATGAATAAATAAACAGTGAATGAATAATTGAATTAGTAAAGGAATCCACAATAATGAAGAAATTAAGAAATAATGAATGAATGAACTGATCAATACTAAAAAAATGAATCAATAAATGAATGAAGGAAAATAAAAATAAATAAAAGAGTAAAATAAGAATGAATGAATGAAGGAATGAATGAAGGAATGAAACAATGAATGCATAAAAAGTAGAACCACCCCCAACATCATCAACACCCGCCCCAACCACCTCTGCTTCTGTATGTTCTCCTGGTCCTTTCTCTCCAGCTCAAACACAATGAATGAGTGAATGAATGAATGAATGAAAGAATGAATGAATGAATGAATGAATGAATGAATGAATGAATGAATGAATGAATGAATGAATGAATGAATGAATGAATGAACAAATAGAACCACCACTATCATCACTGACACCCACCTCTGCATCTGTATGTTCTCCTGATCCTTCCTCTCCAACTCAAACAGCCTCTCCTGTTCATTCTCGTCCATCTGCTCCATCAGTTTGGCCGCCCCCAGCAGCTGTTCCTCCTTGCGCTTCTTCTCGATCTCCTCCGTCACCAAGATGGCGTTTTGACGATCCACCTGCCCGCACGTAGAAGAGAAGGAGGGGGGAGGGGGGAG